CTTCACTTATCTGAATGTTGTAAATTGATCAACTGCATTAAGTTTGATCAATATAAGACTAGATTTCCATACGTAACATCTCAGTAGAATAAGCTGTAGAGAAAATCCCAATCCTGTCGATCAATTTGTATTGTCGGAATTTCAGTCCGTGTTTAATCGTGATGAGAGAATAGGAGTGATGTTTTAATAACTAATCGTTTATTATCAGAAAAAGTATTCATTTATTTTTGTTATTATCGTTGTTATTAACAGAATTGAACAAACACATGAGGGGCTTAATAGAAGGCAACTATATATCATTGAAGTATTGGAATTCATCAATTGATTCCTTGAGGGACGGAGAAAATTTTCATTTTTTACATCCATTTACGCATTAAATTATCCTCATAATGTTACAGTAAACCTATAGTGTAATTTTCTTACAGAAATAATAAAGGCATTAATAAGTAATGAAATGACTTCACGTAAGAAAAAATTAAGTAGAAAAACCTAGCGAATTTGCTAGACAATCCACTGTATTTCTATAGAATTTTCTATAAGTTTATAGCTGATTCTATGGACATGCTCACTAGAGAATATTTAATAAAAATATTCAATAGAGTTCGATTTTTCTATACAACTTCTTCTATTAAAATATATTCTATAGAATTTTCTCGGCTTAAATTTTGCATTTTTTCCATTCTATTCTTCATGACTCTCCATCAAGACAAAAAATCTTAGAAAATTTATGCCGGAGAAATTCCATAAAAAAAATTTCATAGAAAGAGTTGTATGGAAAAAACGTATCCTATCGACTTTTCATCATATACAATAATTTCCATAGATTACGTCAATAGAAATGGCATAAAACTAATAGAGAGTTCTATAGCAATTCTAGAGGTTTTTATTTCAAATCTTTTCGTGCATCTGGAGATAAATGAAATATCTTGTATTAGTTTACAATCAGGTATGGTAATAATGTCAGTAGAATTATTGTAGAGGGAAATATCATAATATATCATTTTTAAAAATTTTCTTAGCTACAAAATTTTCTTAGGATTAAAGCTTGTTCGATTGGGGAGAACAGAGTGAAATGGACACTTTTAACTTCGTTCTAAATGTTCATAACTCAGACATGAACTCATCGATTCTGCTCAGACTGGACTCATTACAAAGGAAAGAAGAGATACTTTACAACGAAACTACGTCGATTTATCAGAACCATAATGAATTTTTATAATTTCAAGAAAAATGAGAGGTGTCCTTATTGCCTCATTCTCCCCTATTTTCCTCTGAAGATAATTCATAATAAAAAATATAGCGCATTCTTCTGAGAATTTTATTGACATGTCTATTACTTTTTCGCCGCTAGTGTTTTTAAGGAAAAATGTTAAATAAAAAATTATTCCAAGAAAAAAATTCACAAAAGTTTTGGGCCGGGATTTTCAGGCAATAAAACATGGTAATTAAATTTTTAAAGATGCCAACAGAATATCATAGTGTTTTAGAAAATTGTAAAAAGTATCTCAATGGCGGAATTTAATCAATAAAATGGACGAAAAGGTATAGAATTTTCAATAGAAGTGTCATACAAATCCTATACAATTGCGTAACGATAACGCAAACTTCTCGCCTGAAATGTCCTCGTGCTTATGTCATTCATTCTTCGTTGGAGTTAGCTCCGTCCCCCTCTGCGAAGCCTTCTTCGTCGACAGCGTCAGAGGAAGAATCAAAGTCAGCCACTGTGCTATTTGATTCAACTCGACGAAGGGGGTGCAGCATCAGTCTTGCAAGTTTCCTCTGAAGATTCTGAGCAGAGGCGATCAACCGATTGAAGTTATCCAAGACTTGCTGTTGAGATTCCAGTATTTCAAACAAATTGAAATTGGAAGTGAACAAGTCTTCGACCATTCCTTCGACATTTATGGATAAATTGCTCACAAAATCCCCAATTTCGAAATCTGACAATAGAATCGTAATAATGATTAATAGTCGTAATAATGATTCAATTCGCAATAAAGATTAATATTCTGAAGAATGAATAGATAAATTTTATCAGAAATTAGGATTCGCTTTTTTTGAAAATAATTTTGCATGAAATTTGTCATTTTCTACATTCAGGGCTGATGATAAGAAAAAATACTTTCCCATCTACCGAGGAGGTGAAAAAAGAGAAATGTCAACACCAATAGATTGAATTAGACTTATTACAACGCAAGTCACGTGAATAATGATAATACTTTGGGCCTCTTAATTCTAAATTATTATTCTCAGTTCATATTATTATAATTCCCAGTTGACAAGGAATACGTCATTTGAGAGATTTTTCGTAGAGTGAGCTAACGAAATTTTCTTATATCATTAAAGATTCTATTAAAATCGTAATTTTCACTGACGTGGAAATAAATTTTGTGCAAAACCCCAAGAAGGTGCGAAAATGATAATTCAGATCCCCCTCCCCCTGTAATTAATGAATTAAGTTATAAACCACTCAAAGTCATCTAAAACTCAGGAAAACAATGGAAAATTTGTGAAACTCAAGGGACATCACCTGCGAAACTCCTCCTCGAGTTTGCAAAACCCCAAAAGTTCGCAAAAAAGATCATTAAGACGTTACTTTTGAGGGTTTCAGCCTTCAACAAATTCCCTCAACTTTTCAATTAATTAATTAATGTTCATTATCTTTTCTGAAATTTTTTGAAATTTTGCAGACTCAAGGAGAGATTTCTGGAGATGTTCCTTGAGTTTCACAATTTTCCATTACTTTCATGAGTTTCAGACTTCAAAAGTGTTTTCACTCAAATAATTAATTAATGAAGAGTCTTACTTATCTTCTGTGCATCTTCTAGGGATGTTACACATTTGAGAAGGGTTTCCAAGAATTCGTATCTTTTATTCTGGTCGTGGAATTGTTTTACTTACATGAATGATAATTGGGAGTTGCAATTGGGCCTTCATGGAAACCCGCTCCATCTCTGGGCATCAGCTCATTATCAAAATTCTTCAACTGTAATGCCACGTCATAGACAGCCCCAGCCATTGATCGGGCGAGGCTGAATGAGTATCTAATCTCAAGCTGGCCCTGAAGCACATCCGGGAAGGGTTTCTTGTTCCTGTAGGTTGCACTTTTGAGGAGCTTCCTTGCAAGAGAGTGGATTTCGTCTGTGATGCAAGTGTTGTGATCTGGAACAACAAAAATCGATCAGAGAAGGGAATATTTCCAACCAATATGAGTGGTAATTGAGTTTTGTTTTAGGATAAGAAAAATTCGTATTTCAGTTGCATTTAAATAGTGAAATCAATAGTTGATGAAATTTTCTTTTGTGGATTCTCTATTGAAATGAAATAACGAATACCTTGTTGATTAGCTTCAGGTAATTAAACAAATGATTACTTTTAATCCACTGTAATATTTTACTTGGAATGTTCATTTTACGTACGATTTCAATGTGCTCTCCAAAAAAATATTTCCCGTTGATCTTCATGAAATGATCAAGGTTGGTAATATTAAACTACACTTTTCATTTATGATTTGCTTAATTGAAGGAAGAGTTTCGGAATGAATATGAAATTGATCGATTTCACTTTGTTGATCTTAACGTTACCAATTATATATTGTCCTATCACATTGTAAAATCCGTAGAGATCAATAAGTGAAGGCTTATTTCATCTCAGAGATGTGCGAGATATCGAAGAAGCAGAATATGAACTTCATAATTAGTGAATTACAAATGAAAAAGTAAAGGTATGATGGAAAAATGTTTTCTCCCAAATGAAACTTTTTAATCACATGAGCCAAAAGAAAAATTTATCGCTGAGCGATGAACAATATTCATACCTGAAGGGCCAAAAATTGGGTTTTAGTCGAATAAAGTGAGGTTAAAATTTTTAGTTTACCGATGTTTATTATTGCGAATTACCTTCTGCTTGACCATTAGCTCCGTTGGCACCGGGCACGTCTCCAAGATTAGCCATCTCACGAGAGTAAATTCCAGCTGATCGATGATGAAAATAATTAATACGTTGGGAAGATGCCGGCGAAAGAATAAAAATTCAGTGACCTGCAGAAGCTTTATGCCGGAGGCAGAAGCGATGTGCCGACGTGCCGGTAAGCGTAGTAGAGTCGTCGCTAGAAGAGAAAGGTTTCGGTTTTCGGCCGAAGTATTCCGAACCCGCGCTCGAATGGGAATGTGGGAACGGAGGGGGGCAAATCCGAAGACCCCTCTCTTGTGGTGAGAACTTTAGGTTGGAGAGATGAGGAAAACGTTAGAGCATAACGTGCCATCTCTGTCGCACTCACTGTAAGGATATGGCCCAGTGGCGTCATGCTGTCTGCCGACCAATCTGAAGACACTCGGGGGATGATGATTGGTGGAGGAGTCGGCACGCAAATTTCCTCGCAAAAAATCAAAATCACGAGAACGTCAACGGCCGTCAACGGTACGTTTTGAGTTGACGATTCCTGAAAAGTTGGAAAAAGGAATGACGAATATGCTATTGTTTCTGAATTCAATGAAAAATTAATTTCGTGATGCTCGACAATTGGTGCAAGAATGATTAATTTCTCTGTTTTTCCTCTTAGACTGAGGGGTAAAGGTGTAAAAACTTGTGGCTTCTCCCGTAAATATATCCGATCCTAGTTTTCGTCACTCGGCGAGTATTTCCAAAATGTTATTTTTCATAAGCACCGCTCACCTCCAGGTTCCTTTTTTTTATATTAACGAAAAAAAATTTTAGTGCTACGTAATTGTTACGTGACTTGGTGTATGGAATTGCTGGTGAGATAAATTCATCAAGTTACTGTTTGTTCTACTGTTTTACTGGCTTTTGTAAATTATTATCCTCTCCATAACGTATTATTTCAGATTCATGGATTTCAAATTCCTGGAAATTTCAACGACTCTACTCTCTTTTTTGTGCCCCCCCCCTTCTTCCTCCTTCTTTCCCGCCCACTGTCTTGTTTTTTGGATTGGCGTCAGTGATATCTTGCCTCTACCCCCACTTTACCTTGCTACCAGTGTTTACGCACTCCCCACCACCGTACGTTACCAGCGGCAAGGGCGCTCTTGACTCCGACGTCCGCATCGTACCCGGTGAATCTCACTTCGATTGCCATTGTGGTCGGTAGTTAACCGAAATTGTTCGTGTTTTTTGCTGTTCTACTCCCAATCGTTTCCACTGCGAAAATATGGGTTAGTTTTGTATATCACTATTCATTTAAGATTGATTGTTGGGGCATTTTTAGCATTAAATAGTTTCAGTGAAGTGAACAAATTAAAAATTATAATTATTTATTGCTGCATTCATCCCAATTTATAATGGTTTTTCCAGCTGAGCAGAAGGGCAATGATAGTATCCCGGAGTGTGAGGTTTGTGAAGGCTGTGAGAATCCAGATTGTCAGAGAGGTATTTCCAATTCAACTGATATTTTTTTCTAAATTGAATTTTTTTTTCCATTTATTGTAGAAATGAGTTTTTCGAACACATTTTCTCCTGAAACAAGTTTGTCACTCCTCTGAATTAATCAATTAATAATCTAGAGAAAGAACAATGAAGACATATTCAGCGAGATATTTTTTTTTATTCTCAAGAAGTGCATGAGTATTCCCTCTTCCAGTTATTTGTATTCGAAAAAAGCCCTGTAATCACCAATTTTTATTTTGTTCTAGACAAGCTGGAACAAGTCAAGTCATTATTTGTAGCCGCTGAGAGGCAGATGGCCATTCAAAAAGCTCGATTCATCGCTATTCAGAGGGGTGAACAGCAAATTCAGAGTAGCCGCAAATTTACTCGAGGAAATGGAACGTATTCAGGAGTTGGTGGACCAGATATACGATGGACTGGACAACGCTGACGCTGCCGCTGACGCTGCTTAGAAAAATAGTCATCGAATAAAAATCGAAAATATCCATGTCAAATAAATAAAAATTTCACCTTGAATAATATTGTGTAACAAGGAAAAAAATGATTATTCCTGAGGTTTTTTACTAGTCATTTACGTCAAACTCTTCGAAGTCGTGGGGTTGGAGGATTAGGTAAGGGGTGAATTTTTGTTCATGGGGTTGGCGACAAATTTCATGGGGCTGAGGTGTTGTAAGTTACATTAAAGAGTGAAGGGGGTTCTACTGCGCAACCATGGGAGTTTTCGGAGGATGCAAAAAGTTATGGATGCAGGTTGATTGGAGCAAGGGAGTTGTTGATTGGAGTGAGGGAACGGCATTGGACGGAGAGCTGTCAAGCCAATTTCATTGAATGGTCCCATCATTGACAATATTACAGAATCCTTGGGAAATAGTAAAATTCATGAAAATCGATTTTTTTCGAGCGGCGTGGGAACTACAAACAAAGATTTCATTAACATTTCACTACCTCTCTTGAATCCTGGAATATTTATTTGAAACTCATATTTTTGGCTCAAGAGAACCGGTTCCACCGCCTCAAAATTAATTGATTTTCGTCTAAAGTTCTTGATAAAATGGAATGCAAAAGCTATTATCACAGCATTAGAATGATTCTCAGTTACGCTGATGAAATATGGAAAACATTTCTTGTTTAATTGTTGTTGTTGCCGGTGAGCGAGCGCCAATCGACTGTCATTCGTTTCATGTCATCAGTATCGGTTCCGCAGTGATTGATCCGTTCATCTGGTCGTCATGGGAAAATTGGGTTCGCCTGATTTATCATTGGATGCCAGGGGTCAGATTGTGGGGATGTGGAGAAAAGGAGCCTTGAAGAGTCACATCGCCAGAGATCTTAACATTAGTGTGAGTCCCATTGCTCAGCGTTCCTAGTCCTCATCTCCATCCACATTGTCCAGTCCACAGTTTTCATTTTTCCTGTCCTTCCCTTCCTTTGTAGCCGGCCACGGTGGTGAAATACATCACCCGATTTGAAGAGGAAGGAAATGTGGGAACGAGACCACGTTCTGGTTGCCCTCGACGATTGGATAATGTAGCAGACGAAGCAATTGTCAATATGGTTCGACAGTCACATTTCATCACTGCTATGACAATCAGGAGAAATCTCCGTTTACAATGCTGCGTGCAAACTGTCCGTAATCGACTGTATGATGCTGGTTTCCATTCTCGCAAACCAGCTAAGAAAGTGGCAATGACACAGCAACACAAAGATCGAAGGCTCCTTTTTTCTCAAGAGCATCTCGCATGGGACGAGCAATGGAATTCGACAATTTTCGTTGATGAGAAAATTTTTACCACTGCTGAGACTGGGAGACACACTTTGTGGCGACTACGAGGGACTCGATATGATGAGGAGAATCTCCTCTATAATCACAACCAAGGACGAGTGACAGTTTCCGTTTGGGGGTCTATGACTGCTCGGGGTCTGGGAGACTTGGTCATAGTAAATGAGAGGATGACTTCTCAGGATTATTTGTTGATCCTTCAGAACGTGATGTATCCCAGTGCAGAAAGATGGTTCCCAGAAGGCGAGATCTACTTGGCACAGGATAATTCTGGACCTCACAACGGCAGGATTGTCCAGAATTGGATTGCTGGACAGGAGCGACTTCACCGTCTTCCTTGGCCACCTGTCTCTCCTGATCTCAATCCTATCGAAAACGTCTGGGCTCGTATGCAACGAGAATGGAATCGCGTTGACAATCGACGAGATCGACAGGCTCTTATCGCTTGCATTATCCAACAATGGGAGGCCATGAGACACGACAGACAATTCTTTTACAATCTCGTTCGAAGTATGCCTAATCGTTTGCAAGAAGTTATTGACAGGAATGGTGGGGCCACACATTATTAGCTATTGTGAAGATAGGACTGCATGTTGATGAGTCTAGACTTTTATTCCTGAGAAAAGAAATATAAGAGGGGTAAAGTTGGGAGAAAAATTCTTTCCTTAGTATAACTCTCAAGTTCGAAAATTGAATGATGGAAACGCGAAAAAATGTCTATTCTTTGCATTCTGTTATGTATTGAATTATTTTGATAGTGGCTCATTTTGCAACAAAAAGCAATTGAAATTCTTTCGTAGGAAGTTTTAGCAGCTATAAAATAAATGTTTATAACTTTTCACATAATTTTCTCTCTTGAGATGAAGAGACACACGTGAGAACAATTGTCGTAGAAATATCATGCGATTTAACAAAAAAATACTATTAGATTTCTATTGAACTTCCCATCAGTTTTTTGCCAAATCTTACGAAAAATTCTGCGAATTTTTTCCATAAGAATATTGAATGTCGCATGAGAGAAGCAACACAGGAGCAACAGATTTCATTTTTCTATACAGCTTATTCTACTGAAATGATTCTTTTAGAAATTCCATTACTCAAATTTTCAAATTACTTTTTTCTAATGAAAGAAAAATATAGATAAAAACCTAGAAGATTTATAGATGAGGAATTCATGTAGAAAATGGCTCAATTGAAAAATCCGTATAGACAGCTAAAATTCCCTATTTTTTTTATAAAGTAGTTTCTATTGCATTTTTTCTATTGATTGAACATACTTACTGTGAATATACTTACATAATTAGCTGCAAAATTCTTCAATATAATCAGCCAAAAGTTAATAGAATTTCCGATTGAAGGTGAATATAACTGCAATAACATTCATATTCATTTCCCATTGCATTCGTTAGGTTTGTCTACGAAGTATTCTCATTCTTGCGCTGACTAGTATTGAAGGATTTGAGTCGTTGCGGGCAATTACTTTGCTACTCAGTTATCTGGATTTTTATAAATATTGGAAAATCAGTCACCTTTCTACTGTCGTGATGAAGTTGAAAAATTGTTACAATAGGTATATCGATATCACACAGACAGTTATAGCTAGCAGCTTTTGCATAACTCAATGATTATTAATTAAAACTTCTTGCTGTATCTAATTATTCCGTAATCTTTCATTGATTCTTCTTTGCCCTCTTTCTCTATTACATAAAATTTGTAACGTGGCAGAAAATAAATAGCATTGGAAAGGACAGGTGATCGATATTTAGGGTATAATTGTTGTCCTAATGCATTCAGACATGGAATCGACGGAATTGAAGACCAAACTTTTGTTTGAATGAGAAGTTGTCGTCCAAAAGCTCGGAAATTTCGTAACAAGTCCCTCTTTTTCATTACCAGTTAATTGTTAAATCAACACGACAGGGAGTTCTTTCAGAGCGAAAGTCAATGAGATATTTTGCTTCTGGCAAATGAAATTCCGCTTCAAAAAAAACATCTCAGACATTATCTCTTGAAATAATCTTTTATTCAGATAATTTATTTAGAAGTAACAATTTGACCTATCATGACTCTTCACTTCGATGTAATAATTTAAATCTTAATGTCGGGTTTGGAGCATGAACGTAGAGACATTGCAGTTTTTCCTACTGTTCGAGAGCTGCTGCATGGTAAAAAGTTTCTAAATAATAACAATGGGGTTCTAGTCAAATGGTGATGGATTTCCAATATGGATTTATGCTAGTAGTAGAATTATGGTTTGGCAGAAATCTACTCCAAAAGATCCAAAACTGCTTTTCATTTCACTAATTACTAATTTTCTTTTCACTAATTTCCATTGAGTGTCTATTCGATTCATTCAACACACGTTCACATAATCATATAGTTTGAAATCCCATAGCCCTGTAAAGTAGAGATGAATTATCATAACATTTATGGAATTACAGTTGATTGAATACAATTTCTAAGCGTCGATTCCAGATGGATGTTTATTTTCTTTGAAGTTGTGGGAGTCCCACACAAATTGGCGGTGAAGTGGCTTCATCTTCAACTTCAGTTTCTAACGATGCGCTTACCTAGATCAAAAGACAGGTTTGAAAGTTTTATGGTAATATCCTCAAGAACATTAAAAACCGAAAAGTGAATAAAAGTTCAATCTCGTCTTATATTGATCAAATAACGTAATGCAGTTGATTCAATTTAGTATATTTTTTATAACTATCAACATTTACTTCAAAAGTTGACAAACTGATTTATTTATTTATTTATTGTTGTACTAGAACGATATATATATTTACTTGTTAGTCCCCTCATTTGGTTATCATTGATGGCAATGACAACGAAAATTAAAAATAAAAACAATTATTTTTTGCTCCGAAAAAAGAAATATTCAAAACGTCACTCCAATTCCCCGTTCCCCCCATATCACAACGAAGCACGAAACATAATTTCGAAGATGCGAGTCTGTGACGCGAATTTCAGTCGTTACTTCGGCTTCAGTGTTTACCGCCGCCTCACCTCCATCTGCGCCCAACTTCAAGTCTTTTACGAACTTATTTGACCGATTGTATACTATCTCGAAAATTTAACTTCGTAAGGAGAATCATTTCCGCCAAACTGACAGAAGCAATAACTTCCTGTATTCTAAACAAACTTTATGATAATTAACTAATTGCGATTGACATAATTAATTTTCTGATCATAATTAATATTCTAATTGATATATCAAACTAAAACAAATTTATGGACAAATCTAGCGAATTTTCTATGACCTGTTTACATTTCGTTGCATCAAAATTCGTTTGTATCGAAATTTCTATTACAAATTCTTAGAACCAACGGGAGAATTTCCACCAACCATGTTTAAGATTTACCATTTGTTGTTGTTAAACACTAATGGGAATAATTCAAGATTACTTATTGAAAATTTCACTAACAACGGAAAATCATGTATTCTTCTTAACGTATTCTAGAATTAGTTCATAGGGATAAGACTGAGAGAGAAATGACGCGATGCGACTGCACTAGACGGAGTGATAGTTTCCGAACATAAAAG